GGTACTGGGCAGCACTCACTTCCATTCACCTGGCTCCTTGCTGGCGGGCTTGAGAACAGGGACTGCCTGGAGGAAGGCATCCTCTTGGCCAGCTGTTACACCAGCGAACACACTAACCCTCCCACAGATGTGTGCTAGGAGGAAGCAGGTACAAGAACATCTTAGCCACAAAGAATCTGTCTTCTATTTGAGCTTGTTCAAAAAAGATTTTTTTAAAGATTGATTTATTTATGCATATAGAAGTGGGGTACAGGCCAGAGGTGATGAAAGGCTTCACCAGAGACAGAGTGGGGAGCAAAACAGGCAGACCAACAAAGTACACTGCTGAGGGGAGCAGCAGGCTGCCGCGCCATGTGAGTCACCTCCAGGGTGGGGATTGAACTCATGCTGAGGTTGGCTTTAGCTTCTTAATGTTGTGCTTTAACCTGCTGCACCACCAGGGAGGGCCCCTCAAAAAAGATTTTTGAGAATTTGCAAGGCCCTGTGCCATAGAGAACAGCTTAAGTTAGGAGTAAGAATGAGATTTAGGATTAGGGTTGTGACATGAGGTGAGTCCAGGAACATAGCTCATTGCCAAAACATGTTGTGACATCTACCCACCCGCAAAGGTGGGTCCCAGATCTGGAGCAGAGCCCCCAAGCATGCCAAGCAAAGAGCAGATACCCTGTGCATTCCTACATCTGTGAAAAGTAAGTTCTGAGAAATGGAATGATTCCTGACTGGGACCAGGAAAATAATATGGCAAGCTGTGCCAGGAGGATCTTTGGGAGCAATGGGAGGTTTACAGGGAAGGGAGCTGTTTCTTTTCTTGAAAGATTTCATTTGTTTGTGCATATAGAACTGGGGTACAGGCCAGAGGTGCAGGGGTGGTGAGAGGATTCACCAGAGACAGAGTGGGGAGCAGAACAGGCAGATCCATGAAGTACACTGCTGATGGGAGCAGCGGGCGGGTCAGAAGAGGTCTGCCGCGCCATGTGGGTCACCTCTGGGGTGGGGATCGAACTCACGCTGAGGCAGCCACACCTTGGCTTAGCTGTGCAGTGCAGGGCTCTCACCCTCTACGCCACCAGGGAGGGCCCGAAGGTGCTGTTTCTTACAGCATCAAGCCAGGCCCTGCCATACTCACTGACCTGGGTCTTGCTAAGTCTGGGGTTTCATAGACCATGTTTGAGAACAGAGAAACTTCTGCAAGATCATGGTGATATGCACATTGTCCATTCATTCATTCATCCTTTAATTACACTCCCACGCCCCTGCCCCTCTGTGCCAGCCTAGAGATACAGGGCTGAGTCACACTTAAGGGGTGATGAGGACCAATGAACAACCCACAGAAGGCGGAGGGCCTCCGTGTTTTAGACACCAGGCAGTCACTTCCTGCAAGTCACTTGCAGGTGGAGGAGGTGGTGGCTTCCAAGGTCGCCAGGACTGCCAGCCTAGCAGCTGCTGAGACCCCGCCCCCAGCCCTGGCCTTTGCAAAGCAAACAGGCTGGATTAGCAATCTCCGGAAATTGCTGGCAGGGACTGGGCCCTACACCAGGTTCCAGGCTGGCAGGCCAGAGGGGTGGGGAGCCAGAAGGGTGGAGCTCGGGTCGCTCAGGAGCTGGCTCCTGCCAAGAATGCCTCAGTTTCTCTCCCTTTTTCCCTCTAGCCAGCATTACTGCCAGTGAGAATTCTCATGTCCTTCCTCATAGTCCTGTGAGCCAGGGCCCCCGTTAGTGTTCATGTTGTCCTCACCTTAGAATGCCCAGGTGCCTCCACCAGGAAGCCCCCAGCCTCATGTGGCCATGCTGGAGTGGTCCTCCACACCTCCCAGTCCCACAGCCCAGGGTCTGAACCTCCACATGCCAGCTCTCCCGTGCTCTGTCCTCCTCCTCCTTCAGAGCCCAGGTCAATGAGGGAGAATGATGGGGTGATGGTGGGGTCCACGCCCTGAGCTTCTGGGGTCCACAGATGCCATCCCAGGCCTGGAAGAAGTGCGGCTGGCCCCATCTTTGCGGAACCAGAGTGGCGCTGTATGGAGCAGGGCACCTGTCCCCTTTTCCGCCTGGGAGGTGAAGGTGCAGATGCGGGTGACAGGGCCTGGGCGCCAGGGTGCCCGGGGCATGGTGAGTGGCCTCCGCCAAGGCCTGGCAGAGGAGGAGAGTCAGGGATGTGGGCGCTCAGCCTGGGGTTCCGGTGTCCTACAAGGGTCCCCAACTGAGCAGCTGGGGACCCGCAGGTTGTATGGTACACCCGAGACAGGGGCCAGCTAAACTTCGGCCTGGGAGCCCTGGCCTCATGGGATGGCATTGGGATCCTGTTCGACTCCTCAGCTGAGAACACCCTGGTGAGTACTGCCCCCCTGCCGGCCTCCACCCACACTCTCACCCGCCCGCTGTGCCCACGCTCAGACTGCTTGTTGCCTGCCCCACAGAACAGCCCTGCCGTCCGTGTGCTGGCCAGTGATGGACACACCCCCACACAGTCACTCGGGTAAAGGCCTTGCTCCACTCCTGACCTCCAAGGGCCCCTTCCCCAACTCCCCCAAACCTCCATGGCCCCACATGCCCCTGCCCCTGCTCAGCCAACCCAGCAGCCCCAGGCCGGAGGCTGGAGTGAGACCTTTCAGGTAGGGCTTGGTTTGTTTAACTCACATCACCTCATCTGATCCCCAGCCTTTCTGAGAGGTTGGGATTATTAGTCCCTGATTACAGGTGAACACACTGAGACCCAGAGAGGTGTAAAGATGTGCCCGAGATCACAAAGCTGCGTGCAGAGCCGTGATGTGGGCCTGCGAGGCTCTCCGTCCTCCCACGGTGCCAGCTGTCTGCCTGCCAGAGCCTTCCCTCTCTCCCAGATGATGTGGCTTCCTACCCCAGCCCGCCTCCTCAGTAGCCAGGCCAGTTCGGTGTCTCTCAGCAAACATCCCTTAGCTCATAACAATTAAAACAATTGCTAACATTTATGAGTGGGGCTTACTGTATGCCCGGCACAGTGCCAAGCTCTACACTGAGTGTCTTAGTTAACCCTCATAACAGTGTTATGAGGTCATGTCAATGATGATCCTCGTTTTAAAGGTGGGGAGACTGGGCCTGTAAGGTGAGGTAAGGCACCCAGGGTCACACAGCTAGAGGTGAGTGTGGCTGCTTTGCTTTCTCACGGCCCTGCTCTGCCTTCCTTTAGGCTGAAGGCGGCAGTACAGAAACGGTCGCTCTGCTGTGTCCTGTCTGTGTGTCTGTGTGCCTGGCTCAATCCTCTTTTCCCAACCCCTCAGCCCCAGCTGCACCTCCCCTGTGGTGAAGACACGCTGGTCATATTGTTGCTGACCCCTAGGCAGCCCCCCTCCCCTACCCCACCCCCAGCCTGTCCTGCTGCAGTTCAGGCTTGGCAAGGGGAGCAGAAAGGTCAGCTCTACCACAGGCATAGGGGTCTTAGAGTTTGGGGTGAGATGGAAGGGATGAACAGTGGGAGGAGGGGTGAGCCTTGGGATTGAGGGCAGAATCTCCCACTAGGGTAGAATCACAAGGAAGCCCTACCCTAATTCCATAAATTTCAAGTTCTCCTCTCTCCATAAGGAAGCCAACTATAGCAAGAGAGGCTCAAGCTAGACAAGGACATGTCCTCTATCTTTTCCTATTTTTTTAAGATTTATTTATTGGCCCTCCCTGGTGGCACAAAAGGTTAAGCACAGCACTATGAAGCTAGCCACAGCCGCTTTAGCATGAATTCAATCCCTGGCCAGGGAGCTGACCCACATGGCACAGCAGACCTCTCCTGACCCGCCAGCTGCTCCCCTCAGCAGTGTACTTTGTCAATCTGCCTGTTCTGTTCCCCACTCTATCTCTGGTGAATCCTCTTTAAAATGTATTTATTTATTTATGCATATAGAACTGGGGTACAGGCCAGAGGTGCAGGGGGTGAGAGAATTCACCAGAGACAGAGTGGGGAGCAGAACAGGCAGACTGAGTGAAATATACTGCTGAGGGGAACAGCAGGCGGGTCAAGAGAGGTCAGCTGCGCTATGTGGGTCAGCTCCCTGGCTAGGGATCAAACTTGTGCTTCAGTGGCTGCTGATAGCTTCATAGTGCTGTGCTTTAGCCTGTTGGGCCACCAGGGAGGGCCCGTCCCCTACCTCTTCACCCAGTGGGGGAGGAAGGGTGGGGAGGGTAGCACAAATCTGGGCAGGACAACCCTTAGATAGCCCCACAGCCAGGCCTCAGGTCCTGTGTGGCCTGGCTGACTTCCAAGTGCTACAGGAATGAAGCCAGCCAGGTGCTGGGCTCCTGCCATCAGAACTTCCGGAACCGACCGTACCCTTTCAGAACACGGATCACCTACTGGGGGCAAAGACTGCTCGTGAGTCCTCCCTCCTGCTTTTGTGGGTCCTCAGGAGCACAAAAAGCTCAGAGCTACAGAGTTGCCACGTGGGTGCCCATGACCCCACAGACCCATGTCTGTGAAAAGCACTAGGTCCTTCCCACATGCAGGTCACTTTCATGGAATCCTCCCTGACTTGGCCAGAGCAGGCAGGTTTGAGGTCAGCCTGTGCATGCCCTCTGACACCTGTCCTGCTTTAGGACCAGGACAGTCAGTGAGTGAGAGATGGGAAGGATCAGAGGAGTGCTCCATCTGTAAGGGGCTCCTTCTCTCTGCGGCCTCCCAAGGTGTTCTTGAGCAGCGGACTGACTCCCAATGACCCAGAGGAACTCTGTGTTGACGTGGGACCCGTGATTTTGGCCCCTGGAGGTTTCTTTGGGATCTCAGCAGCCACCAGCACATTGGCAGGTAAAAGCAGATGAGGGTCACCTAGGGACCCATCCTGAACACACCTCCCAAGGTCCATGGGGTATGAGACAAGTTCCTTCCTCCCCTTATGACCTGGGCAAGCGTGCCCTCTCTGGCCTGTTACCATCAGGGGTCATGTCTCAAATAGGAAAGACACACAGTGGGCCCTGTGAGTGCCCTGTAGAACTGTGGGGAACAGTTACAGTCAGGGAGAGGGCCCAGACAGACATGGCTCAATGGAGTGCCTGTGGCGTGCTGGGAGGCACAAGTGGCTCAGAGCCATATCTGAAAAGCTGGGTGTGGCTAGAAGGTGGGAAACTTGAAACCCAGCACTTTGGTCTCAACTCTGGGCACTGGAAAGCCATGAAAGCTCCCTGAGGTGGAAACTGACTGGGAAGGTCAGGGCCAAGCTGGAGAGGAAGCTGTGTCTGGTAGCTTCTCCACGACTGGAGCCCAGGCCTGCCCAGCATCCCCACTTGCTGGGGGTCCACTCTGGCTGTGCGGGGTCAGGCCCCAGAGCCCACCATAAGCCTGTGAGCCCCATATTTTCCTGTGAAGCGAGTGGGGTGCTTGTCAGAGCTGCCTAGATCTTGTAGTACCTGCAACAGTGGAGCCTGGGTGAGGGTTGAGTGAGGGGCTTCTGGTGGCAGGGGCTAGAGTCTTAGCTTCCTCCTCTGGCCCCCCCCCATTCCAGATGACCATGATGTCCTGTCCTTCCTGACGTTCAGTCTGAGTGAGCCGGCCCCAGAGGTGATGCCAGCCCTGGACCCACCCTGAAGGGAAGGTGGGGGGAGAGAAGCCCAGGACCCCTTCTTTCCCAAGTGCCAGACCTGACGTCGCAGCTGATATCACTGCATGCTTTCGAGCTCTGCTTAGGACAGGCCTGAGGCTGGACAGTTCAGGGGAGCAAAGGTGGCCCAGAGTCAGGGCCTGTCCTTAAGGACTCTCCACATTGGCTGGAGGCTGTGAGGTCCTCCTCAGGCAGAGGGCCTGGGAGCTGGAAGAAACCAGCTGAGCTGAGCTGAGCAGCTGAACAGACAAAGGCTAGGGCCTGGGACCCTGAAGGAGGGGCAGGTGTGGGTGTAGGGGGCAGGACTGGGAGGATTAAACCTGAAGGGTTGGAGGCTGAGCTGAGAGAGAAGCAGCTGAGATGATGCCCCTGGCTGAGATGAAAGATTGTCAGGAGAGGGACTGGGCCCAGGGACCCTGTGGGAAGGCTCCCTTCTACCCAGATCCCCCCAGGTTTCAGTCGGAGTTTTTGTCGTCTCCCTGCAGGTTTTCCCCCAGCCCTCGTTGGAAAAGGAGCAGCTCCGCCTGGCTGGCCAGCTGGAGGTGTTGCGGGCAAGGCTGGCCCTGGGCTCCAAAGAGGACATGATTCCAAAGTTGCATTCTGAAGCCCTGGAAGAGGGTAGGGACTCAGTGGACGGGCAGGTGGGCAGGGGCCTGCTTGAGTCAGAGGATCCTCTTCCCTTTGGGCCAGGAGTCCGTTAACCCCCATCCAAGAGCCCCCCAAAGATTGGATATACCCCAACACCAGCTAGTAACCCACCCAGCTCTTCCCTGACCCCCAGGGGAAAGGGTCTTCGACCTGGAGGAGACCCTGGGCAGACACAGCCAGACCCTGCAGGCGCTGCATGCCATCTCTGAGCAGTTGGTGCAGGCTGAGAGAAAGTGGAAGCAGCAGCTGGGGTCCTCAGGCCAGATCAGGCCTGGAGAAGCCTGGGTGAGTCACCCCTCGGCATCCAAGTCCCCATCTGCAGTCCTGGCCAGGCAAGCTCCCTGGGCACTCAGTCTGTTGGCAGCTGTGGGCCCCCTCTGTGCAGAAAGAGGCACAAGCAAGCACCACACTTGGGAACTAGTCTCACCAAGACTGAATAGGACCTGGCAAACAGAGGAACAGGCAAGGGGAGCTCTGTGCAAGCAAACACTCCAGGAGAGGCGCCAGGTCTGTAGACGATACAATAGACCGGGAGCTAATTCGCAGGTGCTCCACTAGGATTCCATCCAGACACAGCTTGTTGAACGCCCAGATGCACCAGAATCCTCATTCCGTCTCTACTGCCATCCTGGCTTTCCCTGAGGAGTGATGTCCCATGGCAGGCCCAGCCTGGGGCCTGAGAGCTGAACTCAGTCAAGTTGTTAGATGCTGAACAGAAGAGGCTCCTGTGGGCTGGGCTGGGCGCTGATGAGCTCGCTGAAGGAAACTTGAGTTCTCAGGCCAGAGCAGCTGAGGCAGGGCTACTGGAGTGGGGTCAGCGGAGGGACGCTACTCTCCAAGACTAGGCTTCCCTCTTCCTACTTCCAGACCCAGATTTCATCCACCCCAAAGAGGGGCTCACCTCTCCTGGTCACTCAGCAAGACAGGGGCCCAAGGCCCAGCTTGGACTGTGGCCAGAGAGAGGACGGGAAGGGGACCGAGCCAGCTGCTGCTCCTTCAGAGGCAGAACCACCATGGAAAGGGAGGGGGGTAGCAAGAAAGCCCAGGTGAGGCCACTGGGGTGGAGCTGGGGGTTTGGGGTGAGGTGAAGTGGGGGAACAACCATCCTTAGGGGAAAGAGTTTGAAAGGAGGGAAAACCCAGAAGTGCAGATGAACAGGGCTCACATAACTCAACGTGCCCAGCATGAGGAGGGCCAAGGGACTTGGCTGAGGGTTTCTGGAAGGAAGAGGGCTGATATGTCCCTGGGGAAGGTGACCTTTAGGGTGACCTGGACCCTACAGAAGAGGCTGGCACTCCTGTAGGACTCTTCCAAGGTCAGCGCCCTGCTCCATGCACAGCAGACTCTGCTCCAGGACCTCCAGGAGATGAGGTAAGGGGACAGGGTGATGAGGGGTGCTGGGGGTGGCAGCAGGAGAGGGAAGAGAAAGACCCCTAGCTGACTTGCTGCTCTGCCTCAAGTTCTCGATTAGCCCTTTATTTTACTCATTGCCCCAGGCCCCCCCACACACCCACCCCAGCAAAGTCTGGTGCATAGGGAGGGGCTGGAGGTGCAGTCAAGGTTTGCTGAGTTGACCCAAAAGTCACTGACTCAAAGTCCAACTTAATTTTTTTTTAAGATTTATTTATTTGTGCATACAGAACTGGGGTACAGGCCAGAGGTGCAGGGGCAGTGAGAGGATTCACCAGAGACAGAGTGGGGAGCAGAACAGGCAGATCAATGAAGTACACTGCTGAGGGGAAGAGTGGGCCAGACAGGAGAGGTCTGCTGGGTCATATGGTTCACCTCCCTGGTGAGGGATCAAACTTGCACTGAAGGGTCTGTGGGTGGCTTGCAGTGCTGCACCTTAACCTGCTGCACCATCAGGGAGGGCCCTAAAGTCCTACTTTAAAAAGTAACTCTCCTGGCCCTCCCTGGTGGTGCAGCTGGTTAAAGCACAGCACTAAGAAACTAAAGCCACTTCCCCATGAATTCGATCCCCCACCCCAGAGGTGACCCACATGGCCCAGGAGACCTCTCCTGACAGCCCGCTGCTCCCCTCAGCAGTGTACTTCGTTGGTCTGCCTGTTCTGCGCCCCACTCTGTCTCTGGTGAATCCTCTCACTGCCCTTCACCTCTGGTCTGTACAAGTAACTCTCCCAAGAAGACCCCTTCCCTCATAAACTCCCCCATCAGACACCCATGAAAATTTAGTAAAAATGAGGCTTCTTACAGTGACAGTTCTGGAAAGGGGACTTTGGTTGGGTTCTTAGAGGCCCAGGAGGAGGGGTGATCCCTGACTTTATACCCTCCTACCCTGGCATCCCAATCTAGGCCAGTACGAGTCTTTGGGAATCACCCAAAGAATGCTAGGTCACCATGACGACAGGGAAGAGGGAGGCTTCAGGCTGGATGGTGGGTACCTGGCTGACCTGCCAGGTAGATGCTTGGGGTGGGAAGATGGGAAGAAGGAAAGGAGGTAAATCCTCTGGAGGCTGAGAATGGAAGGCAGAGCCAAGGAGCCCAGGGTTGAGACAGGCAGCTTCAGGACAAGCCTGCTCTGAGCTACGTCTGTCTCAGGATCCAGGAAGAGGTTTGGGCTACGATGACCAGCCCCAGGAAAGGAGCCTATCGATGGTGCTATCTCCAGGGATTATAAGAAATGGTACAATCCGAAGGGTGATAGTTTTACCTCCCACCAGGGATGCAGCTGCCCACATGGCCTCAAGAGCCCAGGTCTTCTACTTACCTGTGGGCACCAAGCACCACTTCCTAGAGTTGACCCAGATCCTGAGCCACCTGCAGAAGGAACTTAGGGGCCCGGTGGTAAGGGGAATTGAAGGGATACCATGGGGACTCTGGGCAGACCTCAGGGTGTGGGCTCAACCTCCTTTTGGCACATCTGTCATGCTAGGCCCCTCCTGGCATGTCCCTCCCCTCCCTGGCCCCTGGCTGGCACACCTGTATGTCTATGAGCGCACACACACATGCAGGTACACAGCTCTCATCTTCTCTCTGTCCTTTCTGCCCTCTGCAGAGTCACAGGCTCTCAGTGCCAGAAGGGAGTGCCCTGGGGACCACTTGGTCCAACCCCCTCATTCAGCAGAAAGGACATGGGAGTGGGCTGTGCCCAAGGTCATTCAGAACTTAGCGGTGAAGCCTCCTCTCCCCATCTGGTGCTTTCCTTTGCTCTCAACGACACCCTGTCTTTTGTTCTACGTCTCTCATCTCTAGAGCCTTTGGTCCCCCAATGATCCCAAGCCCCAGGCCTTCCCAGCTGCTCCCACAGATGGAGCCATGGGAGCTGGGAATCAGAAAGCAACTTGGTATTCTGTGCTCTCCCCAGCGCCCTAGTTGGGAGCCAGGGTGCCCGGGAGGGAGAAACAGCAGCTATACATGATACAGAGTCCGGGCAAGAAGCTAAACTGGGATCTTAGATTGTGGCCTTTCAGAAAGCAGCAGCCAAGAACCCCCGCCCACCAGGCCGGCTCCCAGGGGCCTCCTCATGCCTGCAGCCGGGCATCTTCGTCCTCTGCCTCCTCATCCAGACTGCAGCCTTGTTCTGCTACGTGCACCTCAGGTAGGCCTTCTTGTGAGCAGTACACCTCGCATTTAACTGGCGTCTCTTGCTTCTAGGCCAAAGCAGCTGATTTGAGAGAAGGGACACAGAGGTCTAGAGAGTGGGGGACACCCTGCTCGGCCCACCAGCCAACTGGCAAAGAGCATAGCCCAGGCTAGGTTCTATTTTTCCAGCAGACTCTAATTGCCATCTGCTCAGCCATGAGTCCCATCTGGGTCCTGCTCTCACAGAATTCACTCTGTAAGAAACTAAGTGACTGACGGCCACACCCTATACAGTCAGTGCCATGATAGTAGGAAGCTCAGGGCTCTGAGAGTGCAAGGAAAAACACCTGACTCAGCTTGGGGCATCAGGGAATTAACCTAGAGGGGACACTTGATATGGGTTATCCAGTCAACTAGCTTTCCAGTCTGACAAGATAAGGAAAGATATTGCTATAGAGGAAACATAGAGGGAAAAAACATAGACACACGGAAAAGTATATTTTGGAGACAAAATGGCAAGTTTGGCATTGTCAGAGCAAAGGGTGGGGCCAGTTTGTGGAAATGGGCAAAGATAAATAAAAAGATGGGGGGTCACTTTTCGGCTTGGTAGTTACCTAATGAATGAAACAAATCTAGACATAGGGGTGTACTAATGGTCTCAGAAGTGGGACTAGCTGGTGTCTGTAGAATTCCAAGACAAGAATCAACATGGCCTGGGTAGCCTCCGAAGAGGACTGAAACGTGTTCAGCTTTCAAATCAGAGTAGGAGAGAGAGAGGCTTCCAGGGGAGAAGAGCAGCAAGGACCAGACGGAAATGGCGAGCTTAGCTATTGCACTATGCACAAGTCCCGTGCTATGTGGTGGCGATGAGACGAGTCACGAGATAGATGCTGAGCACCAGGGGGACAGTGGGCTTCCAGTGAGGCAGGTTCAGGGAACCGCAGAAGATCCCAGAACAGAAGAGGTGGTGGTGAGTGAGAGTGGGGAGGTGAGCGTGAGCCCAGAAGGGAGAGGCAGTGGTGGTGAGTGAGTGTGGGGAGGTGAGCGTGAGCCCAGAAGGGAGAGGTGGTGGTGGTGGTGGTGGTGGTGAAAGTGGGGAGGTGAGCATCAGCCCAGAAGGGAGAGGCCCAAGTAACCACTTTCTCCTCTCCCTGCAGCAGGCAGGATCTGGATGTGAGCCTTCGGGACTATCTGTCCATGTGCCGCCTTCCTCTGAGTTCAACACCACAGATCCCTAGAGCTCTGGGGGCTCTGAGGAGGCAGCCCCACTCCTCCAGCCTGCATGCGTGACCCACCCCAAAGCCCTAAAGCCACTCACTTCTCATCACTATGAAATGAACGGGGTCTGAGTGTAGGGGGCTTGGCCAGTGTCCTCTGAAGACCTCTGTGTGCCCAATTCCTATCCATACCCTAGCTGGTGGAGAGCTCCCCTCTTATTAAAAAATAAGGTGATTTCCCTTCCCCCATGCTTTGACACGTTCATTTGCCTTCTAGTGTTTCCTTAATCTCTCTGAAGGCTTCCACCTCCTCTGGGTAGGAGGTGGGCACCAAGCAGGCAAGGAAATCTAAAGCCCAGATGCTCAAGCTTTGAGCCTTAGACTGTTGCCCTAAAGGGAGTCACAGCTGTGTGTAATTCTTCCTCTGACACAAGGAGTGGTGTGCTAAGTGCCCTTTCTCCCAGATGAAGGCCAGACACCAGGGAGAAGGAAGAGGAGAAGGAAGCAGCGTTCTAGGAACGCATCAGCTCAGTGTCTTCCTCTGGGAGTACCCCTACATGCCCTAATCCCTAGTCAGCAGGGCCCAGCAGAGCTTGGCATTGCGGGAGGCACGAGGGGGAGGCGGGAGTGTGGAGCAGGCACGTGGTCCTGCCGGTTCAGCCCCGTGCTGGTTTCCCCATCCCCCAGTGAGGAGGTGGGGGGGCGGACCTTGGTGGGCGGGGCAGGTGGTGGGCGGTGCAGAGTGTGGAGCCCTGGCCGGGAGCGGGAGCTGTCCGCAAGTCCTAGTGCTGAAGTAGTCTCAGCCGTTCCTCGTGCCCAGTGCCTGGTATCCAGTGCCCGGGTGAGCGGAGACCATGGCGTTTATGGTGAAGACCATGGTGGGTGGACAGCTGAAAAATCTCACCGGGAGCCTGGGAGGCGGAGAGGACAAGGGGGACGGGGACAAATCTGTGGCTGAAGCACAAGGCATGAGCCGAGAGGAGTACGAGGAGTATCAGAAGCAACTGGTGGAAGAGAAGTAAGTAGGACTCCTTCCCAGCTCTGAGGCACCTCCCGCAACAACCGCCTTGCTCATCCCTAAGGTCCTCTCAGATTCTGAGCGCCCTCCCCTGTCCTGCTTTCCTAGACTGTGAATCTGAGTTATGCCCTCTAGGCCACCCCAGGACCACCCCATCTCAAGCCGAGGACCCTGCCCTAGCTTCACACTTGGGCTCAGAGTGGATGGAGGCAGGGGAAATAGGTGCGTGGGATGGTTGGGGGCACCCCACCCCATCCCACGTGCATTCTGATGAAACAAGTAATCCCTTAATCCGATCTGGTCCCAGCCTGTGTCTTCCAAATGGAGTTTCTCTGCACTGTGGCCCTGAGAAAAGCTGTGCAGCTGAGGAGCTCGGAATCAAAGAGACAGATCCTGAGATGGGGCATTCACAGTTACTGAGGCTTCTTGTGTGAGGCAGTACAGAGGGGGAGAGGCAGCCCTGCTAGTGTTAGGGGCTGGACTCCAGGAATAGGCTACTTGGGTGCAGATCAGGCTTTTATTTATTTATTTTTTTTTTTGCATAGAAGAACTAGGGGGTAGGCCAGAGGTGTGGGGGTGATGAGAAGATTCTCTAGGGAGAGTGGGAAGCAGAACAGGATTTACTGAAATGTCACCCTAAGGAGAGCAGTAAGCAAGACAGGAGAGGTCTGCTGCTCCATATATGCGTTAGCTCCCCGGTTGGGTAATGAACTCAGGCCACAGCAGTGATAGCACTGAGACTTAGGCCCCAAGCCACCAGAGATGCCTGGCTTCTTTCCTTTTTTTTTAAGCTATTGACTTTAGGCAAATTAGTTAACCTTTCTGTGCCTCAGTTTCCTCTTCTGTAAAATGGGGATAGTAACCAAAAAACATACCTTGCATATATTTATTAGGGGTTAATTAATACAGGAAAACTGCTTGGCACAGCCCTGGCACATGGTAAATCATTAAATGTTAGCCATGATTACTTTACTTAGTCCTGATAACACTGTTGTGAATTGTATGAGCTCCCTATGTTACAAAAGAAGGAAAGTGGCTTACCCAAAGACCTATGGAAATTGGCAGAACCCAAGTCTGCCCCCCACCACACAATTGTTGGGGAGAGAAAAGAAAGGTGGAGGGCCAGAGAAGACATATATTAGTGTCCAAACAGAGACAGACAGATTCCTTTGCCTCATAGCTCCATATAGCTGGGGGTGCAGAGATGACAAGGGATGCTGGCGGCGAGGCAGCTGAGGCTAGGTCAAGCCCCCTCCTGACACACAGTCCTCTCAGTCCTCACAATGACCATCCCTGGTGCCCCCTCAGGATGGAACGGGATGCACAGTTCACACAGAGGAAGGCAGAGCGAGCCACACTGCGGAGCCACTTCCGAGACAAATACCGACTGCCAAAGGTGGGCATGGAGGTGGGGGTGGGGAGGGTAAAGGCTATTAATTTTCAGCAAGGGTGAATACTCCTGGCGCTTCTGAACACTCAGAAAGTGAGAGGAGAGGATTGTGGGTGAGAAGACAGCACACTCTGTGTGCCAGGCCCTTGACTCTAGGCCCTAATCTAACCACTCACAAACACCACCAAGTAGCTTCCGCCCAAGGAAAGTGAGACTTGGAGAGATTACAGGACTTGATGAAGGTAATACAGCCAGCTAGCAGGGGAGCTCTAGCATGTGAGCGTGAGCCTGCTCTCTCTTACTCCTTGACCCCTGGCTGCCTTCCACGGTAAGAGGCTGCCTGCAGAGGGCAAAGTAGTCTCTTGGTTGCCCAGACAGCCAGGAGGCAGCCCCCCTTAGCCACCATGGCAGCACATAGTTCCGCATGAAGAATTCTATTTCTGTTGCCTAAGGAGGGATCAGCCTCTGCCACCACCCAGACTGTGCCTAGATCATGCTAGACTCTGAGAGGAGACAGAAGTACAGGGCCGTAGCACTCCTGACCTTGATCTCCACTTACATTGGAAGAAGAGATACATGCACATCGCATCTACTCATTCAGCAAATGTTCGTTGAGGCCCTGACTGCCTCTGACTCCCTCAGGGCTGCAGTCTTTTAGAAATCTCTTGAAGAGAAGGCTGGTTCAGAAAGCCAGTCTTTCGGCAGTTACTGAGCTAAGCAAGGAATGCAGTCATTCCTCAAATTCTTACCCCATGCATGTCAGACACACTGAGTGCACAAGAAGGAGCAAGACTTGGCTGAGTAAAATGGAAACTTTCAGGCTCCCCACAGGGAGAGGGAAGCACAGTGACCACCAGCTGCTGTTGTACGAAGACAGCACAATTGTTGAACTCAGCGACATCGTTTTAAATCTAACCCCCATTTCCTAGTTGTGTGACTTGGGCAAGTTACTTAAGTTACCAGAGGTTCAATTTCCTTTTTTGTAAAACAGAGATTAAAAGAAAGAAAGAAAGAAAACCTGCCTCATAGTGTTCTTGAGAGAACGAGAAACACTCAGCTCATGTCAGCCATCTAATAGGGGCTTGGTGGGGGCATCTAGTGGGGGTAGCCATCACCATCGTTGGGACTGCACGCCAATGTCGCTAACCACTGTCAACATGTGACTGAGCTGTGACAGTCTGACTCTAGGTATTTTCACTATGCTACTTTCTTACCTTCATCACCTCAGAGTAAAGGGTGGTGGCATAAAAGAACAAGGTCTTCATGTCTCAGTGTCAAAAAGTTGATCCTGGGGTGGGAACTGAGCTCCCTGGAACATGGAGCTCAAGAATCTAGGGACCTGGAACCTGATCCAGGCCTCCTCCCTGCCACTAAACACCGAGTCCTCCCAGACCTTCAACCTCCGCTATCCCCTTTCCTCTTCCCTTTAGAGTGAGACAGATGAGCGCCAGATCCAGATGGCAGGTGGAGACATGGAGCTGCCCCGGGAGCTAGCCAAGATGATCACCGAGGACACGGAGGAGGAGCGGGCCTCTGTGCTTGGGCAGCTGGCCAGCCTCCCTGGCTTGGACCTCGGCTCCCTCAAGGACAAGGCCCAAAACACACTGGGAGACCTCAAACAATCAGCAGAAAACTGCCGGCTCATGTAACCACTCTCCGGGGGCTGTCTGCTGGGGTGACGAGAGGGCTGGGCCCACATGAGGCTAGAGCGTAGCCTGCCTCCCAGGGACACTGCCTCATCCTGGCTCATCACCTGCCCCATCAGAGTCCAACCCTGCTCATGTAGGTCCTGAGCTTGCCTTCTGGTCTCTTCTTCAACTTACTTATCAAGACCCACCCTCCCTACTCAGCATTGGAGTGTGTGTGTGGGGGGGGAGGGGACTTCCCTGGATTATAAAACTAGCCTGGTCTCTCTCTGGCCATGCCCCCAAGCTCTGCACATGAAACACACAGAGGGAAAAACCCTAGTGTGCCCAGGGTGACCACAGGTGAGCCCTGGCACGTACAGACTCACCCAAGCAGCCAGTCCCCTGGTGCCTTTCTCCTCTAACACTGACTCTCAGACGTGTATAGCAGGGACTTCGGGCAGCCACCCTCAGCAGACAGAAAGCCAGGAGTTTATTCTCCTTGGAAGCCATGGCACCTTCTGGGCCTCATCTCATCGTCTCTAAAATGGGGATCGTCTGAGGGATGTCTAAGGCTTGTCCTTACTGGCCCTCAGAACCAAACTCTTGCCCCTCCTTGGGCAAGACAGCAGCTGCAGCTGTGGCCTCAAGCGACTGCCACTGTACAGTAGATGCTGGCTCCTGGGAGCTGAGCTATGCTGGGTGAGGGCCGAGTGCCAAGGGTGAGGCTGGCACTGAGCGGTAGCCAGGCGGCTCCCGGCCTCCTCTGGGCCCATGCCCAGACAATTTCTGTTCCGTTCCCATAGAACTCTCTCTGGATTCCATAGCTGGAGCTCCTTTCTCAACTCAGTGAAAAATAAAAATTCCAAGTAATGTATCTATCCTTCCACATCTTACTGAGACTAAGGGTTCACAGCATTGGGGGTCGCAGCCCCTCCCCACAGCCCTGCCTTTGCAGGAGTATCTTTAACCTCACCTACTCCATAAGTGCTCCAGCTCCTATACATTCCTGCTCAGCAGTGGGTAAGACTGATGGAGCACCAGGGCCACCCTGGGTCCAGGAAGGGCATAGCAGCCAGCTGGATGGGAATGCATCTGGGGAAGGTCTCCCTCCAGACTGTTAGCTGAGGACCTGGAGGGTCCCACTCATGCACTTCTGTTTCTAGTACCCGTACCCACGTCCTCTACTCACCTGGAAGATGGCTGGTGTAGCGAAGAGGAGAGGTAGGCAGTTATGGCTTTAGAGCTTGGGGACCCGACTGAGGACAGTTGGCCTGCTGTCTCGCCCATCTCTATCTGAGTCCAGAGCTAGCTCCTCCTGTCCCAGAGCCACCACTCCCACTTCTTTCCTGAGATGTGCAGACAGCTCAGAGCTTTTTGGGGCTCCCAGGTTGTAAGGACGAAACCATTGTGGGTTCTAGCCCGGGTGCTGCTGGTTCCTCCCTGAGCCTATTTTCCCCTGTGAGATAAAAGACCCCCCTAAAAATAATTCATGTTTCCAAGGGTGATAGACCATACCAAAATTTGGTAACTCATTCCTTAAAGAAAAATACAGTGAGCCCAAATCTCATCCTACTCATCTGTGGGGGCCCAGGAAACCAACCAGGAGGCTCTATGAGCTATACCCCCTGCAGTGTGAGCAGGAAAAAGGGGCTATAGGCTACCCCAGTTACCCCCTCTGCCCCCAGCCTCCTTGGCTTCAGAATGAGGGGCAGCTGGCCAAGATTTACAGGCAAAACAGTCATATGAGGGTTTGGTTTCAAGGGCAAAGTTTCCATTAAGCCTCCTTTGTAAAACAGAACAAGGAACATAAAACCTGCGCAGTAATATGGTATCGGGAGGAAAAGGAGGAAGAGGAGAGGGTGAGGGACGCAGGCCCAGGCCCAGAAGCAGCAGAGCGCTGTGGCCTGGTGGTTACACAGGGGGAGGGGAAGAGAGGTGGGGGTGGGGGGCTGTGGGGTTAGGGGGAGGCTTCTCCAGGGCACCCGCTGGGAAGGGCTAGGGCCTGGGTCTGCGCTGCTCTGAGGCTTTCCCTGGGCTGCCAATGGACCTTCCTGGAGCTGGAGGAGACAGGAGTCTTATCCCCCATGGGTAGGGGGGCAGTGGCCCTCCTCACCAGTGTCAACAGCAGGCCTACATCAGCACTGCACCCCAGGGGCCTTCTGCATAATGGGATTGGACAGGCCCTTTTCCCTCAGTGGTTTGCAAGCCTAAGAGCAAAGGGTAGAGCAGCATTAGTTTGTGAGGAACATTAGTATTTGCTGAACCCTCACAAAACAGGGGGTTGAGGCCCAGAGCCATGGGTCTGGAGGGTGCTGAGCCCCAACGATGGTTCCCCCCTCACAGCCTGAGAACACTAAGAACTCTGACCTACCTGCATGTTCTGGAAAGAAGTGGGGGTGGTAGGTCTGGGACAAGAGCCAGCTCTGAGGAGCCAGCAGGGATGGGCAAGGTGGACAGGCCAAGGGTCCCCCAGCCGGACCCACGGCTGAAGCCATGCTGTGCTTGCCTCCCCTTCCCCTGTGCTTCTTCAGCTCACATCCTCATGGGTGTTTCCCACTCTCTGCCTCTTACCTGTCCTATACCCTCAGCAAGGGTGGACCTGGCCACTTGGCCCGGCACACCCCTAAGCCCGGGGCCTGCCTCCCATGCCTGGGACCACCGCTGGGTGACTGCTCTGCCCACCTGCTACGAAGCAAGCTGCTTACTACAGGAATGTTCCTTCCCATAGGGGTTAAAGTCCCACTGTCGAGCACCTAGTTTAGAAGGCAATCGCCTCTCCAGATCCTCCTCTCCTGCCCTCCTTCCCGCCTTCTCCCCTTTGTAGGCAGCCTGACATGGTAATACTGAGAGGTGATGAGACTCCCCTCCTGCCCCTCCACACTTTCAGGGAGAGATGGCTGGCCTGCTCCCCCTCCCACTCTGCAGACCCCAAAAATGGAGCTTCGGGGACATTGATGTGAGCCCTGGTCTTTGCCCTGCCCCAGTCTCTTGCCTTCTTGAGAGAGTTGAAGTGTGGAGTGCAGAAGACCTGTCACCCAAGAGCCCGAGATACCGGGGGCTCCGCTATCCCCAGCTCCCTCCTCCCAACCCCACAGGAACCAAGGGACATCTGGCGGGTTATTTGCTAAGCATGAGCTGCTGGCTGTGCCTAGTGACCCAGCTGATGCCCGAGGCAGCAGTGGGGGCGGGGAGCCACAGAATCAGCTCCTGTCTGTAACCCTAACTTCTTGCTACTGGGTAGAGCCCTGCCCACAATGTGAGGTTCCAGCACAGCAAGGAATGGGGTGAGTTGGGCTGGGGAGCAGCAAGGTTGTGGCTGCCCTGGCCTTACTCAGCAGGAGCCATACCTGTGGTGTGTGATCAGGAGTGTAGACCTGCGGGAGCTGCTTGGGTTTGGAGCTTGCCCTCCATGAGAGTCTGCGAGCTGTGCCCTGGGACTGCCAGCACTCAGTGTGGGTGTGTGACCCTGGGGAAAGCAGCCTGCAGTAGCCCTCCTGCCGCAGCCTCAGGGGAGGGCATCTTCTCTGGGAGGGCTGGGGTGGTAACCTTTAGGGACAGAGTCCCTCTAAGGTGATCTCTCATAGGAACCAAGTTTCTAGGTCTTTCCTCATCTCTCCAGTTAGCAAAAGAAGAGGCAGGCTGGGCACAGGAAAACCTCTAAATTCCCTCAATCTGCTTTTCCCAGGGCATCCCTTAGGGAGAAAGGTCCAGCTTCAAATACTTCCAACTTGGCCCAGTGCTAATTCTAGTTTTGGGGAACTGAGTGGAGGAGGAAGGAGGGTGCAGAGTCATTGCTGGAAAAACAACTTGCCCCTGGGAAGAAGAGAAAAAATGTTTAAGCAGATTAGCTATTTCTCTTAGGTCTCTGCCATTTGAAGAGAACAGCCTACCTCCCCCCAGCCTGCAGCCCTCCCACTGGGCTGCCACCCAAACCCGCAGGGAGGCCCCTCCTCCTCCTCCACTTGTGTAAGAATCTTAGGCCTCTGTCTTCAGACAGCCGTGCAGGCCTCACAAACCGGGGTCTGTGACCAGCGCTCCGGGCCTTCATCCTATTCAAATAGCCCTTGCTCACTCCAGCCCCTCCCACCACCACCCCACCAGTTCCAGTCAGTCCCCTCTGTCCCTCAGTGAGGCTTTCTGTCCAGCCTTTTCCAATAATGTGAATCTGAGGTACATCTCTCCCTTTCAATCTCGAAATAGCATTTTATTGAATGCTCTTGCTGGGTCAAACTCACATTCAGTACCTCAATCCTTATACATTTCCACAAGTCACTGAGCCATCGCTCTCACTTTACCAAGAAACAGGCCAACCAGTGGGCCCAAGTTTCATGGTTAAAAGGCAAAGCCCAGGCTGTCCTCGGTGGCGCAGCAGGTAAAGCGCAGCACCAAGAAGCTAAAGACACTTCAGCATGAGTTCGATCCAGGCCCCCGAGGTGACCACATGGCACAGCAGACATGTCCTGACCCGCCCGCAGCTCCCCTCAGCAATGTACTTTGTCAGCTGGCCTGTTCTGCTCCCCACTCTGTCTCTGTGAATCCTCTCACCGCCCCTACACCTCTGGCCTGTACCCCACTTCTACATGCATAAATAAATCTTTTTTTTTTTTTAAAGATTTACTTATTTGTACATACAGAACTGGAGTAAAGACCAGAAGCTCAGGGGTGGCGAGAGGCTTCACCAGAGTGGGGAGCAGAACAGGCAGATCGACGAAGTACACTGCTGAGGGGAGCAGCAGGAGGGTCAGGAGAGGTCTGCCACGCCATGTGGTCACCTCCGGGACAGGCGAGAATTGAACTCATGCAAAAGTGGCTTTAGCTTCTTAGTGTTGTGCTTTAACCCGCTGCGCCACCAGGGTGGGCCAATAAATAAATCTTAAAAAAAAAAAAAAAAAAAGGCAAAGCCTGCCACTCCTGCCCTGGACTTCTAGTCCACACCGCCCCCCAATGGCCAAGCCAAGGCTTCAGAGAAGTAGGCTCCCTCCTTTCAGAAACCCAAAGAGTAAGCCTGTCTGGCAGTCTGTCCACCTGGGCACTACCGCCCTGGTCGCCAGAGATGCTCTGCGTGCTGTCCAGACAGAGACCCAGATGTGGTGGCAGAGGGAAGAGCTGCTGGAAATGAGCTCCGCCCAGGAGTCTGCACCTTCTCCAATCTGATTCCCTGCCCACTCCGGCTGGGAGGCCAGGGCACCTGTCAGGACAAGGGAGCAAGGCATGGAGCAGAGAGCATGTCACCCCTGCGTCTGTGCTCAGCCTGGCCTGGGTGCAGACAGGAGTCGGGGCTCCCGGACCTGTCCTGCCCAGTCCCACCGGTGTCACTCTCTTGGCACCCTAGAAGCTGAAGGCAGGAGATAGAGGTCTCCCCCACGCATTCCTGCTTTTCCTCTGGCCCCCGCCTGTGAACAGAGGCTACCTATCCTGTTTTTCTAGGTGAGGACAAGAAGCAGTTTCAGAAAATAATTTAATAGAGAAACAATGAATTATATACATTCTTTACACCCAGCCTCCCGAAGGTGAACAGGTATCTGGCTCCACAGAGGTACCTAGGGCAAAAGGGCTGGAAATCAACACCCTCTGATTGTTTATAAAGAAACCCCCAATAACTCCAGGCGTACATTCTGCTCCAGGGCCCGTGTGTGCGGTAAGGGGTGCTGAGGAGGTATTAGCAGCCCCACTGAGAGATGGGGCACCCAGGCCCAGACAAGGGAGGGGAGTTGGGGGGAGTGGCAGTGTTACACTAAGAACAAGGTCTCCTTGATTTTTGGGTCCCCCAAATCCTGATGGGTCAAGCAGCCCCACGCTTCTTCCTCCCAAGTCAGAACCAGTTTTTTCAGCAAGTTAGGGGGCAAATAAGGGTGTTCACTAAAGAAGGATGGAAGGGGAGGGATGAGGATTGAGGACCCCCTCCCTTGCCCCCTTGGGCCAGGACAGGAACAAGGCATGTTTCTCAAATTGGCCCCACTCATCCCAAGTACAAAGGACATTATTTTCATGCTTGAAGGATTATCTTAACATTAATGAGGGTGGGGAGTGGTCATTCTCAGGAAGATTGGGGAGTTCTATGGGGCTGGGTTGTCCCTGAGGGGTCTTGGGGCATCTCATTCCAGTGCAGAGGAGGCAAACTGCAGTCAGGTTTCCCAGGGAGGACAGCTGATTGCTGCCAGGCAGGGGCGAGAACAGAACCATGCCCCCTTCTCAGAGCAAAACCAGGGTTTTCATGGCCTCACTCGACAGGCTCCAGGCCCGGTAAACATTAAAAAAAAAAAAAAAGTCCTATTAAAGAATTATCTTTCCAGAGTCCTGGCTTGGCACCCCAACCTTGCCCGGGGCCAGGCCCAGTGATGCCAGCACATGGCGTCAGCTTTCAGGCCCTCTGGGAGGTGGAGAGCACTCTGAGGGGTGACTAGAGAGCCTAAGACGTGAGGCTGACGTGAGACCCAGGAAGACTGCTTAGCAGGGTTGCAGAGGCCACAGAATCCTAGATGTCAGCCTGGGTGAGTGCTCCCCTAACTCCAGGCGGTGTGCGCAGCCATCCTTCTGGGTCACTGGAGAGTGCAAGCTGCAGAGGAGGAGGGGAGGCTGTCTCAGCTCTTGGCAAAGAGGAAGCATCCAGGGCTGGCCCGCCCCAGCCCTCCTCAGAGAGGACCAGGCCTCAGGGCAGGACTCACAGCTACGGACAGACTCCAGCATCCCTTCTTTATCCAAGGTCTCAGCTTGCCAGCGAGAATCCCTCATCTAAAGGACATAAAGGCAGCATAAAGGGTGAGAGGCAGCCAGAGGCAGGCCCTACCAAGAGTGAAGGACAGAGGATGGACGGGCCTCCAGACGGAGACTAGAGGGAAACACACAAGAGCTACAACAGGGCTAGGAAGCCACAAGGGACAGCACCCCAGGGTCCCACCTTAATCTGCTCCTTCAGGTATTCAGCTCGAGCCATGAGGTTCTGAACCTGTCAAGGGAAGACAGGCCCGTGAGTACGTGAGCGGTGATGCTCCCCAGAACCCCTTCCCACTCAACAACTGCTCTGAGTCCTTCATCCCCTTATTCCCCCAGGAAGCCACCCAACTGCAGCAGCCCAGCAGCCTTCTGCTGTTAGGTCAAGACCCTGGCTGTCCCTGACCCGGCACCAGATACAGCACATGGGCAACCACTGAGCAAGTCTGGGGCAGAAACACCCTAAAGGAGCCTGAGGACCCCCAGAAGGGAGCAGGTAAAGGGGGAGAAAAGAAGCCCTCAGCCTGCCCACCCCTAGCAGGCACCTCAGAGTGAAGCAGCTCCCGCCTCCGGCCTGGGGGCTCCGCTGCAAAGAGAGGGCAGGGAGTGAGGGCACGGAGTGCTGGCAGTGGCCGAGGGCTTGAGGGAGTGGGATGATGAGGGGTCTCACCTGCCAGCAGCAGCAGCAGCTCCCCCAGGACATGCTGGTACAGGACCAGGGCATCCTGCTCCCCACCGGTTTCCTCCTCCTGCAGCCACATGTACAGAAGGTCACTTAGGGCCACGGCCTGCGCCTGCCTGCCCGGCCTGGACCCACCCCATGGGGCACAAACCTTGGTCGTGGCTGCCGAAGCCACTTCCAGTGCAGCCAGGAGACGTGGCTTGTCTCGGGCCATCTCTGGATGAGAAGGCAAAGGCTCAGGGTGAGAGAAGAGCTGGCTCTTGTCTATCTGGGGGGACCTCCCCAAACATACCTCCTTCCTGGGAAGGAAGCTGCTGGGGTCCCTGCAATGGGCCAGAAAGTGGGCTTACCTTTGAGCAAGTCCTGAGTGGAGGTGCCCTGTCTCAGCAGGGCCTGATTGGAAGAGGAGACGATGGCCTTGAGCTCCTCAGCCCGGGACACATACTGCCCCACCTGCACCAAGGCGAGAGGAACAGCCCCCTCACCCCATCTCCTTCACCAGCACCGACCCCAAGTTCTCCCTCTGGTGCTCAGTGACTGCCCCAAGATGGAATGGCAGGGGTCACCCAAGGTTGACCTGACGGGCCCCCTTCCCAGAAAGTTCCAGGTCTTGGAGCTAGCCCCCAGAAGCCCCAAGATCCCTCACCCATTTCCACACCCGCACGAGGGTGCTCACTCATTCACCTTTGCCCTAATTGCTTCCTTCCGCTGGGCGTCCACTTCATCTGCAGAAAACAGGGGTGTCTACAAGAAATCTGAGGAGAGGGGCCTCTGCCCCACATTAAACCCTCTGGGATTCTCGGGAAGGCACGAAGCCCCAGATTTCTCGCCCATAAATTCTGCATGGGGAGTGTCTTCTGGAATCCAGCCACTGCTGACCCACCCCTGCTGCACCCAGGGCTCTGGGCAGGGCTGGCACTCACAGTGCAGGGCGGGCACAAAAAAGTCCAGGGCCTTGCAGTAGAGAGACAAGGCAGCCGCAGCATCGCCTTCCTGATCCTTCTTCACTGCCTGTACCACCAAGGCGGTCTGGGGACAGGCAGACAGGAGTCAAGCCCACCCCCACGAGGGGGTCAAGCAGGCTCCCTAAACCCCTTCTCTGCCTCCTGCTGGAGGAGATGAGACTACCCTCGCCTGCCACCCGCTGGCGTGCTCACAGCTTGTGCCAGGCTGTCCCCACTGGGCATGTGCTCCAGGTCCACCCAGGGGTGGGCAAAGAAGTCCTGGAAGGAGATGCGACGGCTGGGGTCTCGCTCCAGGAGCCGCTTCAGCAGGTCTCGGCAATCTCTAGAGAGCAGGGGCTGCAGCGGGAGCTGCAGGTGGGGGACGGCAGGACTCAGATGGCTGCGGGCCCTAGATCCTCAGCCCCCAGCTAGAGGCCTGTCAGGACCACCCTGTTCGGGGATGCCCCAGAACTGGGGCACAAGTGGGGACCCTGAGACCCAGAAGGAAAAGTGATGGGTCCAGGTGATGGGGCAGTGGCGAGCCAAACTTCCCGCAGGCTGCTGGGCACACCCTCCTGGGACCTCAGAACTTTGCCCATGGCCCCGCTCCACCTGGGATGGAGCTCCGAGAAGGCTGGGCAGGGCTGCTCTGGCTCTCTCCCTGGGGGCTGGCTGGGAGGTCTGTGTACACTATCCTGGGGAAAGGCCCTTTGTCCCTGCCGTGGCTGATATGGGCCCCTGACTGGAGTCAGACTGCCAATCGGAGGCGCGCCCCGCGCCACAAGAGGGGACTACAGCCCACGGTTGCATCTGTGCAGGCAGAAGGACCCCGACTCCCTCTATCCTGCAATGACTGCCAAGGCGCTGCTAGACAAGACTCACCTCAATAACCCGGTTGCTCCGGATCTTCTCTTCCAGCTCTGAGAATGACCTGGAGGCAAAGGGGGGCTGCCCGAAGAGGGCTTCTGTGGAAGGGAGGCAGAGGGCAGGCTGGAAGGGGGCAGGGGCCAGCCTGGCCTGGCCCACTCCTAGGGAGGGTGCCCCTCGGAGCAGGGGCTTTGGGCCAGCAGTCGTGCTCAGGAATGGCCCGGGGAGGCCCCGCCTGAGGACGCACAGACCAGGCCTGGGCGGGGGCAGGGGAGGCGTCCTCACCGTACAGGATGACGCCCACAGACCAGAGGTCCACACGGGCATCGTACTGCCGCTGACACACCATCTCAGGGGCCATGTAAAGGGGCGAGCCCCGGAGCACATGCTTCTCATCCCGCGGGGACATGTGCTGTGCGAAACCAAAGTCTGTGGGCGAGAGGGGCAGTGGGCAGCAGGGCTCAAAATCCAGCTGCTTCCACTCCTGGGCTGCAGAGCAGGCTCCTCTGCACCTTTTAAATGCATCAGGGGTAAAGCGACTTCTACTCTGCTTGTGCTGTTTCTCTCTAGCAGCCTAGCAAGAGAGTACCCCATCTCCCCCAGGGAGCATGAGTCCTACACACCCTGCGGTGCCCCATCAGACACCTTTCCCCAGGACGCCCACAGGGCTGTGAGGATAAGGGCCCACTAGGGGTTAGAACCACCATCACTGTCTCACCAAGCTCAGGCTGTACCTAGTCTCTGAGCACACCCCAGCCTCAAGTCCCATCTTGTCCATGTTCGCTCAGAAGCCCAAGAACCTGCCCCTGGCCGCACACCGCCACAGGCTGAGTCATCATCTCATCCCAATTCTGGTGACAGACCAAGTCCTGACCCTGGTCACACTGTACCCTCACCCCATCCATTGTACTGCTCAATCAAGTGTGAGGAGCCAGAGACAGGCCTATCTTCTGGTAATGAGAGGCCCAGTCCCCGTCTCCCAGCCCGTCAATACACGATGACTCAACTGAGGCTCCATGGGAAGCCAGCTGCCAAGTGAGCCCAGGCAGAGGGAGCACTGCACACCCACTCTCCCAACCTCACCCCTGCTGACTCAGATTCACACCTGCCAGTTTAAGGTGGGGTCTCTCCAAGGAGCTCAGCAGAATATTCTGTGGCTTCAGGTCCAGATGAGAGATGTTCCGTTCATGCAGAAACTGCAGGGCACTGGCTAGAGCGGAGACAGGTCAGGGGAGGCCATCTCCCACCTGCCTCTCACCTCCCAGCCTTTCATCTACCTCTTCAAACTGGCACCAGCCCAGTTCTGGCCCAGCTGGTCCACAGAGTGCTTTACATCCACCTTCTAGGCTCCTGCCACTTCTAAAAATTTGCCCCCCATCCTGAAAACTCTCTTTCCTGCCTTAGGCCCATTCACAAATCCCCTCTCCTCCTGGAAGCCTCTTTGGATACCCCAGCCCTTCAGGCTCTCTTGCTCTTTCCCTTGGCAAATGACTTGAATTCTACCCAATGGGCCCTGACATGTTCTTTTTTTTTTTTTTTTTTAAAGATGCATTTATTTATGCATACAGAACTGGGATACAGACTAGAGTGCTGGGGCAGTGAGAGGATTCACCAGAGACAGAGCGGGGAGCAGAACAGGCAGAGTGATGAAGTACACTGCTGAGGGGAGCAGCGGGTGAGACAGGAGAGGTCAGTAGGGCTATGTGGGTCACTTTTGGAGGGCCCTCCCTGGAATGCTGCATGAGCTTCTTTTTTTTTTTTTTTTAAGATTCATTTATTTATTTATGCACATAAGAACTGGGGCATAGACCAGAGGACTCACCAGAGAGAGAGTAGGGAGCAGAACAGGCAGAGGTACAAAATACACTGCTGAGGGTACAGCATGGGGACGAAACAGAAGAGGATCCCTGGCCGGCTGGGGATCAAACTCGATCCCCAGCCTCACGGTGCTGTCTTTAACCCCTGCACCTCCATTCATCCTTTAGCCATGGGAAAGATGGGGCCCTCAAAAGCCAGGCTTGGCATGGGAGGCAACTGCTGTGAGTGCCAGGGCTCTAAACCTGGGCCAGGGGCACAGTGGGCGGGCAGAGGTCATGGGAAGGGGTGCCAGGCTGGGGCAGAAATGCTTACCCAACTGCTGCATGAAGACGCGAGCCACCTTCTCAGGAAGAATCCTGCGTGTGTGGATGAAGCGAGACAGGTCACCCCCTGCACAGAACTCCATGATGAGGTAGATGTTGTCACTGTCCCACTGTGGTTACAAGTGGAGAGGCACCTTGAACAGTGTGTCCCTGTTCCAGGCCCCTATGGGGTGTCTCCACTACAGGCCAGTACCTGGAAGTCTTTTAGCTGTACAATGTGGGGGTGCCGAATGCCCTTAAGGATTTCAATCTCTGTCAGGAGGTTTTCCACCGATGCCTTGTTCAGGCTCTTCTTGGCCACGCACTTTATGGCTACCACCTCTCGAGTGTCCTTCTGCAGACAGATTTGAGTCTTAAGGGGGCCAGGACTCGTGCCTGACCAGAAGGGCTCAGGTCACCTTTGACCCTCTGCCCCTCACTGCGCCTACCCATTCACAGGGGCACCCAGGCATCCCAGCTCACTCTTCTAGAGCCACTTAGATAGTATTCTGGAATCCCAGCTTCCCCACCCAGGCTGGTGTTCTTTAACCCTCTGCTCCAGAACTCAAGTCACTGTATTCCAGAATGCCCCAGCAAAAGCGAGCCATTCAGTGTTCTAGAACTATCCACTCAGCTTCCTAGCACCCTGACCCACACCTCCTCCCAGCCAACCAGGGAGCTGCCCCGTTTGATCCTATTCCTCTGCCCCTGACACCGACGCTACACCGAGGTCTCCACCTGCCTCTCCAGACGGAAATAGGTGTTTGTCGGGCGTCTGCTTTTAAGATGCGGGGTGTCACCGGCTTCTCCCTCATCCATGGAAGCCTACATAGTCATGGCAAACTGGGATCTCCAGCTGCTCACTTCCCCTCGTTTCCCCAGTCGACCCCACCACCCACGGGCCGGCTCGGGGTCTGGCGGGCACTGGGGGCCAGGCCCTTAGAAGTTTTCCAACCCGATACACCGCCCCCTCAACCCCCCAGTTCCCGGCCCGCACCGGAGCGCCTGGGGGACACCCCGACCCCACCTTGGCGTAGGCTTTGTACACCGTGGCGTACGTGCCACTGCCCAGGCGCTCGGTGAGGATGAAGCCGTCCAGACGAGGGGGGCCCCAGCCGGGGCCCGCCATGCCGGTGGCCCAGACGCTTCCTGGTTCCCGGCGCCGGGTTCCGGCCGGAACGGAGCGGGAGGGCGCACCACCGTCGGGTCCCCGCAGCGCCCCCAGCGGCGCCCGCCGGAAGTGTAGCGCGGCCGGGCCGGACGTCGCAGCGCTCCCAGCAACGCCCTCCGGAAACGCAGCGGCCCCCGCCCCGCCCCGCCCCGCCCCGCCAGGTGTTCCAGGTGCTGCCACTGGGCGCCGCCCCCGCCTTCACCAGAACTGAATGACCGCAAGATCCACCAGCTCCTGCGAAGGCCCAGGTGAGGACAGTGCGGCCTCAGTAGCTGAACTGGTGTGTGAGTGGAAGGGGTTCCAAAAAGGTTCAAAGACCTTAAGTTCTAAAAATAAAATTGCAGGGCAGGGTCAAGAATGAAACCTTTGGAGGAGGACAAGTCATCTCAAGAAGGGGCCTGCGCCTAGGGGTAAGGGGCTTGGCCAGATGTAGCATTTTGACTATCCCTTCTCAGCCATTGGTGGAACCCCCTCAGCCCCGAACGGTGGCCACTCCCAATCTTCCAAGTCCAGCAGACATTAGGATCATAGTTGTCTGAAAATGTCTTGTTTTTATTTAAGCACAATATTGAGATATAACATATACATTTGTACATGGAGAAAAAATACCGAAAGTTTACAAAAGATTGGTCACTGCCTTTAATATTCCATGGCTCTGAGGATGAGAGGGGAGCAGCCTGTGGGAACCTCCAGTGGGCCCAAGTCCTGGGAGGGAGGTTTTAGCCAGCTTTTTGATAAGCCCCTCAGTCTACACACCCATGTCTACTGCCTCTGGAGGACAGGGTACAGGTTTTACCCGTGGACCATGACAGTGACACAGCCCCTGGGGGGTCCCCAAGACCAGTGGAAGACTTACTCAGGGTGTGGGAGAACCCTGGGTGATTAGTCCAGAACCCTCAGAAAGGGGTGGCTCATTAGTCTACGCAGAAGGATACAGCTCTGGACTGATTACCCCTGCCCTCCCTCAAAGTCAGGTAAGCTAGATTATTTCTGATGGGGAGCAGGGAGCACCAGGCCAGCAGGTAGACTCTGAGGCTGAGGCAAAGGACAGCTGTCTCCCAGGAGAGGAGGGAATTAAAACAAAGCGCACCAGGACAGCTAGACCCCACCTTTTAGAAGACTGCCAAAGGCTGGGTAGGACATCTTGGGGTCACTGTCCTCTATCCATCCTCATCCCCATTGCACATTCAGGAAGTCTAAAGAGGGAAGGGCTCAGGGAGGGCCCCAGAGGACATAAGGTAGATGGATGCATAAGGTAGATCAGAGGATGCAGGGGGGCCTAGAGCTCTAAGCAGGCAGAGCCTGGACTAACCAGGCCAGAAGCCTGTGAAAGTCCAGAGACTACCTGAGCTGGAGAACAGTTGCCTACCTGTCTAGACTACAGCTCATCTAAAGGGGTGTCCATAGGAGGCCACTCCAGCCTAGGCAGGAAGGGAGGACAGGACTAGAAGCCATAGTTTATGTCTGTGCAATTAGATTCAGGCCAGGCCTGCAGGGGGACAGAGTAGCACCCCAGAACCTTCGCAGAAACAAAACTCCAGCTGGGTAGGCCCAGGTCAGCTGGATCCCAATTGTATGTGTTTAAGGGTACATGTGTGGTTTCATGTGTCAGTCCCACTGCTTCTAGAGAGACAAAAAGAATCCCATCAAACCACCACCAGAGAAGGAAAGAATGATTTTTTTTTTCTTTTCTCTTATATAAAAAACAGTCCTGGTCCCTCCCTCCCTTCCACATCAGTGGAAGGGAGAGCTGGTTGCTGAGGAAGGAGCAAGAACCATGGCAAAACCCTCCCCAGGTCTGTGCTGGGCATAACCACTGCTTAAGGCACCCATGAAAAGTGCAGCTCAGAAGGCAGGTGAGAGAAAAGGCTGGGGCAGAGGGTGAAGAGTTAGAGGACTAATTCCCCTGGAAGGTTCCCCGGGCAGCAGATGAGGCAGCGCTGCGCAAGGTCCTGTTACTGAAGATGCCCTGGGAAAACTCCTCCTGGGCCTGCTGGAAGCTGGCCCCTGTCCGGCGGTACAGGGAGTGCACCTGTGGAAAGAGTCTGAGGTGAGAGGGGCCCGCCTGTGGGCACACAAGGAACTTCATCATTCCCAAAGAGGGCCCAGCACGGTGGGTACCTGAAACCCCACCCAGAGCCTTGAAAGCTTATGCTGGACCCAGAAGGCCCCACCATATTGATGAATATCCCAAGGCCAAGGCAGGGGAGAGGCACCTGCTTGCTTTGACTGCTGTCCGCCCAGTGCCTACCACTCACCCGCTTTAGGAGGAAGAGGGAGAGCACTGCACAGAGGGTGAAGAAACCAGCCACCACCATCATGATGATCGACACAGCCAAGTCTTGATGCAGTGTAGTCAGGGCTGCCATCCAACCACTAAAGAGGAAGGAAGAGGCCAGAGGCAGAGTGGGAATGGGCCCCAGGGGCACCCGTAAGATGCTGTCTTCTCCAAATGGCTGCTATGTCCTGAGCACCAGTTTTATGGGCCAGACTCCTGGCCTGTTAAGAGGCTGGGTCTAGTGAAGGCCAACACGTCCCACACTGCTCACAGCAAATTTCTGGTCCATGTGTGAGGCCTAGAAGGGAAGATGTGGCTGGCAGCAGCCCTCACATTCCTGAGTTGCTCTGCTTTGGACTTGCGGGGACAGGGAAAGCCTAGCTGCTTACTCATGAAGGTCTGCCCTCTGAGAGAGACCACGACTGGCCAATCCATTGCACCAATCTTGTTAGTCTCTGCTCCTTCCTATGGAGCCCAGAGACAGTCCTTCTGCCTCAGTTACATCATGTCAGTCACGGCACCTTCTTGAGTCCCAGTGTTCTCAATCTTCCCAATTTCAAAACATACTACCAAGTTACAGTTATCAAAACAGTGTGAAAGAGGCATAAGATAAGACATAGATTCATGGAATAGAGTTGAGTCTAGAAGTATATTCATATATCTAATGTTAACTGGCAGCTCACTGCCCACATCTTTCCTTTTTCTCTTTTCCTTAATGTATGGGGCCCACTTTGTGGTGCAAGGGAAAGTGCAGCACAATGAAGCTATCAGCAGCCACTGCAGCACGAGTTCAATCTCTGGCCAAGGAGTTGATGTGCAGCAGACCTCTCCTGACTTGCCTGTTTCTCCCCTCAGCAGTGTATTTTGGTTGATCTACCTATTCTGCTCCCCACTGTCTCTGATGAAGCCTCCCACCACACCCTCTTCGCTGCACCTTTGGCCTGTACCCCAGTTCTTGTATGCATATGTAAAAAAAGTAAGTAAATCTTTAAAACAAAACCAAAACAAAAACTTGCCATGTGCTGATGAATGGGAAAAAAGCTAATGTTAACTGATTTTTGACAAGGAGTGAAATGCGAAAAGAACAATGTTTCAACAGTAATCCTGGGACAACCAGATACCCACATGCAAAATTCCACCTCTATGTATACACCCAACAAATATTAAAAAAGTAACTCAAAATGAAACACTGTCTGAATTATAAGCTTGAAGTTTAAAACAGAGGGAATTCTTCAGATTTGGCTACAGTTTTTCTTAGATATGACCCTGAAAGCAAAGAAACAGAAGATAAACTGGGTCTCATTAAAATTAAAAACTTGTCCTAGACTGAAGGACACTATTCAGAGAGTAGAAAGACAAAACAGAGTGGAAAAAAAACACTATCCAGAATAGATAAGGAACTTGACAACGAAAACCCAATCAATAAATTAGCCAAGAACCCGAGAAGAATTTTTCTCCAAAGGAGATATTATCAACCAATAAGCACATGGAAAATGACCAACATTATTCAGGAAATGCCAAGCAAAACCACAATGAGATACCACACCTCTAAGTTGGCCATAACAAGAAAGGAAAGTAAGCGCTGGCAAAGATGTGGAGGAAATAATCACATGCAGTGCTACTGGTGATGTAAAATGGTCCAGTTGCAATGGGAAAAAACAGCTGGTGGTTCCCTGATGGAATCACCACCTGACCCAGCAATTCCACTTCTAGGGTCATACCCCAAGAACTGAAAACAAGTCCTCCAAAACTTGTAGAAGTATTCAAAGCAGCACTGTTCACAACTGCAGAAAGGTGGAAGCAACCCGGATGTCAACAACTAACAAATGTACGAATAAAATATAGCATGTCCAAACAAAGCAATATTACCCGCCACAAAAAGGAATGAAATGCTGATTCAAGCTACAACACTGGTGAACCCTGAAAACACTATGCTAAGTGAGAGAAGCCAGAGGCTAGAAGCCAGCAAATCCAGACACAGAAAGCAGTATGATGGTGGCCAGGAGCTCAGCAAAGGAAAGAACGAAAGCAGCTGCTTTAGAGTATGGATTTCCAGGCCTTCCTGGTGGCACAATGGGTTAAAGCACAGCAGTGCAAAGCTAGCTGCAACCGCTGCAGCATGAGTTCAATCCCTGGCCAGGGAGGTGACCCACATGCACGGCAGACCTCTCCTGACCGGCTCTGTGCTCCTCTCAGCAATGTACTTCATCAGTCAGCCTGTTCCACTCCCCACTCTGTCTTTGGTGAATCCTCTCACTGCCCCTACACCTCTGGCATGTACCCCAGTTCTGTATGCATAAATAAAAACTAGAGCTTTTTTTTTAAAAAAAGTACAAATTTCCTGTACAGTAATAGAAGTGTTCTGGACTAGTAAGTTATGATGAATGCACCACTCTGGGGATGGACTAAATGCTGTCAAATTGTATACTTTACAGCGATTTAAGAGGCAAATAAGTTTTATGTGTTTTTACAATCAACAACCGAAATAAATAAAAAATGCTGGTGTGAAGAGGTAAGAGGCTGGAGGTGTCCAGAGCTCATCCAGGTCGACTCAGGGAAGGCAGGGAGGAACAAAACCAAGACTAGAGATCCTGGCCTGGGCTGACACGGCAGCTATGAAACTCCACCCCTTTCTCCTCGGATCTCACTTAGGATAATGAATGATAAAATCAGGTCATGATCAAAGAGGTAGATTAGAAAGGGCAGGTCAAGAAGGAAGTGGGCTTGGGGGAAGGAACAGACCCGCCCCACGGCTCTGGACTTGTCAGTTCTACTAGGAAGAGAGTCAGACCAAAATAGTGCAGCCCTTCCAGGCAAGTGCCAGTCTGACCTTTCTGTAATGTTCCCTGTGCAATGAGGCAAAAAAGAAAACATCAGCTATCAGCTCCTTTCTGAGACAGCTGCTGAGCAGCGGATGGCGGCACCCAGGAAATGCAAGCCAGCTGGGCACTGGGAGAGAGCAGCAGCAAGAGGGCATCCTCCAGGAGAGGCTAAGGCTGTTTCAGCCATTACTCTGTATCCGGGAGAACTCACTGCTCCAAAGGCCAGGGCAGCCACAGCAGCTGCCCACACACAAGGACTGCCTAGGCCCCAGCCCCAGAAGGCCATGGAGGAGAAAAGTGGCAATGAGTAAAGGCCACGGCCCTGCCAGCCCAGGGATTCAAGCCGAGGTCATTCACAACGCCCCAGAGAGTGGCGAGCAAGGCAAGACCATGAGCTGTGATCAGCGAAGAACTGGCTACGGGTCATGAAGGCAGGTCCCTCCCTGCTGGCCCACCCGCTCCTCTCCCTGTCAAGGCAAAAAGAAGCCATCGCTGGAGCTCTCTGGGAGCTGGGGAAAGGGGCAAAAGAGGCTGAGCCCACCTCTACAGCATACTTCTGTCTGGGTAGCCCCAGGCCTTACCTGTCCCCTAAGCCAGGGATGCCGATCAACTGGATGATATAGATCCCTATTTGACAAAAAAATATAAGGAAGAACACGAAGAAGCTGAAAGAGTTGTCAGACCTGTGGAGAGAGAAGGAAATAAGTCACATGAGGGCTTACTCAGCATCCCGCACTGGGTATGACATCTCTCCTCACGAGGAGGCAGGATGGGACAGAGCTCCTGGGAATTAGCCATACTGTCCTGAGGCACAGACATATAGACACCGGCCCCCGTACTCAAAATGGGCTTGCCTTTTACTGCCTTCCAATTCAAAGGGTCAATATTGACCCTTCCTCCAATTGCTGATTGTTATAAAAAGCCTGATAGGGATGAGTGGGTGGTGGATGCACTGCAGTGGTCACATCTGACAGGATATCTCAATATTACCTCAATTAAAAATAGATAAATAGGGCCCTCCCTGGTGGCTCAGCGGGTCAAAGCACAGCACTAAGAAGCTTAAGCTGCTTCCACATGAGTTCGATCCCCGCCTGCCCCGGAGGTGACCACATGGCGAGGCAGACCTCTCCTGACCCGCCCGCTGCTCCCCTCAGCAGTGTGCTTCGTTGATCTGCCTGTTCTGCTCCCCGTTCTATCTCTGGTGAATCCTCTCACCCTCCACATCTCTGGCCTATACCCCAGGTTCTATATGAATAAATAAATCTTTAAAAAATAATAATAATAAGATAAATAAGGAAAATATTTTTAAAAAGTCCATTAGTCTATCTCCTGGAAGATTTATTTGCACTTTGTAATACATAGGCCTGGGGGGAGGAAAAGGTATTTAAGTTAGGGAAGTTAGGGTAGGGAAGGCCAGGCCAAGTTGGTGTTTCCAGCACCTCCATCTCCATGTCACTGAGGACATAAGTCAAGCAAGGGTTCAGGTCCTGCCTGCTGGGTGCTTCAGCATGAACTCTGAGGCACAAAATTCCAAAAGCCCAAGGGGTCTGTGAGGTGGCTCCATGAATGCTCACAGTACCTAGACTAGGCTGGCACTCAGAGGTGTTTAGACATTTGGGGAGGAAGTTGCATCTATGAACAGGCCAGATAAGATGTTGGGATCCCCTGTCCAACTCGACCAGAGAAGCACACCCTAGGGCGTTGGAAGGGACCTACAGAAGACCCCTCCCTCAGTCCCTGTGACTGAGATCCCACCGGGTCCACAGGCTGCATCCTCAGTGGAGATAGGAAGGCTCCTGGTGCCCATTCTAGTCTCCAATGCCGACTTCAGGCCTAGCAGTTGAGGACAGTGGCTCCTGACCCATCTGCTCTCACTATGGTGGCAATGGCAAAGGGAACTTCCCCACAGTTTCATTCTGCTCTAAGACTGGCATGGGGGCATAGGGTTATGGCCTTTAGCCTGCTCCCTGGAGGCCACCCATATTCACCCTTCACCCCAGCCCCACTCACCTAAAGGCCTTATAGATGGGTCGGTACCAACAAAGGAAGGCACAGGGGGTGAAGATCAGAAACCACAAGATCGAGAGGCCAAAATCCACTCCCCTGCTGGTGTCGACTAAGAACCAGGCCAGGCAGGCAAGCAGGTTCAGAAACAGAGTCACCGAGTGCACTGGGGATGGGGAGGGAAGAGAGAGGTGAGCTGAAGGCTCCCCAACATGGCAAACCACCCTCTGCAGAGGAAACGAGACCCATGCTGGAAGGGGGCTGGAAGCAGAAATAACAGAGGGCCTTGGCCGGTGTGTGGGCCACATTAGCCCCTAGATCCTGGAACCACAAAGCCAGTGACCAAATGACATTCCTAAGAGGTGAGGGGTGTCAGGAGATAGTGGGATGCAGACCCAAGGGTTAATCCTTGGGAGATGCCGGCTTTGTTTCAGCACCTCTGCTCGAAATGGAGCCACAGCCATCTTAGCCCGTCAATCCCAGGGGGCTGTGCGGGAAGGGACCTCTACCCAAGGAGGGCCTCCTGGTGCAGTAGACTGCAGAAACACAGAAGCTCTGCTAGTCGCCCTTCCCTGATCTGTGGTCTACGCTCGTCCTTTCTGGGAGGTTCTCTGGACAGGGAGGAGACTGCAAAAGGTCCTCTCACCAGGTCCAGAACTGAGGAAGCTGGAGGCAACAGAAAGCCTGTACACCAGAAGCAGCCAGAGCACAGATAAGACTCTCTTGCTGTGCCCCATTTCACCCTTGGGCCTGGAGGGCAGAAGCGGGACTCACACATCCAGAGATAGTAGAGCATCTTGCATATCCGCTGGTAGTCGGCAGGGATCTCTGCAGAGAAGTCCTGATAGAAGCAGGGCTTGACCGGGAACCACGAGGGCAGGGGCGGCCAGTTGTTCTCCCTCACTGTGTGGGAAGAGGCGAGAGGTGAGGCCCGGCAGCAGCACAGTGGAGTGCAGACACTGGCCAAAACAAGAGTTCCCAGGGGGCACCAGCAAATGGAACTGGGGTCCTCACAGGTGTGGAGAGGAGTGGAAAAGGGTGATGGGACACAAAGAGACACCCACAAGTCACTCTGTGATAATGGACTTCACACGCTCGGAGAAATTTAGCCAAACCGCCTGAAGTGATTATTTCTATCATCAGCTCATGAACACAAGGGGTGATCAGTGTGAGGAAGGAATCATGGGACATGGGCCCCACTCCATAAAGAAACTTTAGAGCTTGGAAGGAGTCTACATCCATTAGGTATACACCGCAAGTCCCCTGACTGACGCCCTACTCTTCCCCGGGACCATCGCTGTTCATCAAGGGGCCAGTGAAGTGCAGACGCTGGCAATCAGTGGGTCTGTGAGATCTCCTGCCCAGGCATGGATAGGCCACTGGCCTCCCTTACCGTGTAAGTTGGCCACACTGTTCTGCAGCTCCCGCTCCTTACGCTCCAGCTCGGCAGCTTTCCTGTCCAGTTCTTCCTGCTGCCGGATCAGGCTTGCCTGGGCTGCAGAGGCCACGGCCTGGAGGGAGGAGGAGACGTGGGGAGCAGCCAGACATAAGTATCAGTGAGTATCAGCCTGATCAGGAAATCAGGTGTGCTCTGCCCTACATGAGACCCACCTGGAAGTCCCAGACCCGCAGCACCTTGGGGACCTCAGACCACCACAGAGGGACCAAGGCCTACTGCTCTACGTCACCTCTGCCCCTCAGCCATTACTGGGGCTCTCCTCTCCCTTCGTCTGAGCTCAGGCTAGGGGAGCTATCCCCTAGTCTGGAGTCCAGGTAAAGTCCAATTATGACAACCTTGGGGGTAACATCCAAAGGAGAAGCCCTCACAAGAGACTAACCTGTAGCTGAAACCCAGGTCTCATCTGAAGAACCTGGAGGGTGTGTGTGGAGAGGAAGCAACGCATAGTTCCTGCAGTGCGTGGGGAGAACAGACAAGTGTCCTTGGTGCCTCAGGGATCTCCATTTAAACACCTCCTGCTCTGCCCCCAGGAACTGGCCCTGAATCTCCTGCACTGAGGTGACCACCTGCACCCTAGAACAGCCCTTTAGGTTTGGCCTTCTCTGCCCGGCCTCCACGGTGTGCAGTCCCAGCGTCAGCCCTTCTGCAGGCAGAGCAGGGGCTCTGGGGAGGCAGCTCCCGAGGCTACATGGGGTGGGGTCCACGTCAGCATTCCAGCAAGGGCCCTGTTCCTTTTGGCGTTGCCACTGGTGGGACCTGGTTCCCTAAGTCTACACTCCTTTCAGGGAGCAGCAATCAAGCCAGGATAAGACCCAGGCATATGTGAGGGTACACGTGTGTGCACACAATTACATACTCACACACTCTCCAGGAGTTCTCCAAAGAGCCAGACTGCCTTCAGTAATGTGTATTTCAGATGCTGGGAACAGAAGCAGTCCCAGAGCTGACTCTGCTATAATACACTGAGGGGTTCTGTCTCCTTTCCCCAAGTCTGTGACATCCATTGAACAGGGACCAGATGCCAACAACCCACCACCCAGCTGCACCAGAGAGGCAGCCTGCCTTCAACATGCCTCACCTCCTCAGGGAGCCAGGGCCAGGACAGAAGAACTTCCAGGGCAGGGCAGCACACTAAGTGGAGCTACCTGGCACCCCTAGAGGCCGAAGCCTCGTGTGGGCAGGGTCCAGGTGGCACGTCCTCACTCATGCTCACCTACGTTTTGCCTACCTTCGGAAGCTTTCGCATGTAGCTGTCTCTGAGAATACTATCTCCTCCTAGTAGCATCTGCCTCTCTGAGAGCTTGCTCACTGCCAGGAATCTGGTAGGCAGGAACTTGCTGGCCTGCCTAAGCAGGAGCTGCAACATACAACTCCATTGTGGTCACACCCTCAGCCAGCAGGAGGGGGTGAAGGCTGAGGTGAGGGAAAGGTGTGCAGGGCACTACGCAAACAAGAACCCAGTGTTTGGTGAAGGGATAGCGAAAATAAGGAGGGACGGAGGGAGTAAATGAGAGAGGGCAGAGGAGAGGAAAGAGTCTGAGCCCTGAGTAAAAGAGGCCTCAGGAGGACACGGAATGGCACGCCAGGGGCAAATGTTCTCTGTGAAGACCCCAAGGGCCCCAGCCTGGTGAGGAAAGTTTATTTTTTGGTGGTGGTTGTGGGAGGGGAGAGGGAGGACCTAGGTTGGCAGAGCAGACCCTCTGCTGGTAAGGGATCAAGAGGGCCCTGGCAGGAGAGTCAGGGGTGACGGTCCTCTGCCCACCCCCCTACTCTCAGGATTCCGCTGCTGGTGTGGGTATTTCCCTTTCTGGAATGAAAAGCCAAAGGATTCTTTGTCAACGGTACCTGGGGGGTTGGCTGGGTTGGTTCCACTGAGGGCTGGAGAACAGCTGGCTGTGAGGGCCCAGGGAGCTGCGTGACAGGAACCGTCGTCGCTGCATTTGTCTGAGGGGGACAGATCAAAGGCGGGAAGTGAGAGGCTCCACTATTTGGCTATGTGGGGGCAAAGACCCAGCAGGGTGAACAACGTGCCCTTCCCTGGCTCTCCCTCTGTAGCTTCTTAGGCTCTGGGCAAGATGGCGCCGCTGGCCTGGCTGGACCCAGAGCTCTCGGCTACTGTCCTGCCCTCTTCAAGAGGAGCCCAGATCATGGCTCCCAGAAGAGGTTCAGTGACTTCCTCATCTTCCCCCCACCCTGAGTTTGGGTTAGGACTGTCCCTGTGAGGGACAGCTTCAGGTCTCTGTGCCCTAGAGACCCCAGCAACACCCAGAGGCCCAGGACTCAGAAAGAGGGCATGTTCACCAACCTCTGAGAAAGGGTTGAATTCAGCCAGGCCACCTTGTGGGGCATTGGTCAGCTGGGTCACAGAGGGATCCTAAGGAAAAAGAGTGTTAGACAGGAGAAAAGCAAACCTTGGTAAGGGCCATGGCCATCCCTCAGCCCCTCCCGGGACCAACAATGGCAGGGGCAGAGGCTGCTATGGCCCTTTCCAGCACTCCGGAAATCCTCTCCTGAAAGTTCCTGTGCCTGCCCGGAGCTGCAATCTCTTCTCCTTTTCTGGAAAGGGAGTCTTCAGCCTGGATGACTTCCCTAAGCAAGCTTCACACTCAGGACACATGTTCTTGTTAGTACCCTTTAGAGATTCACAACAGTTCATTATATTTACCTCCAGGGAGTGGGTTTTTTGGGAGGAAAGGGTGTTTGGGAGACAGTGATTTGGGGTATTGTGGATGGCAACTTACTTTTCACTTCAGAACTTTACTGTTACATTTATTATTTTACAAAAAGCATTCGTTCCTCTTTTTCTAAAGGACAATTTATAGTTCTGGAAAACAATAATATGCCAGTGGCCCCCAGGCTAACTTTATTAAATCAGGTACACTTGCTAGGAATAGAGATGTGAGAAGCTCAGATGAAAAGCCAGAGAAATGTTTTGGGCTTTTTTTTTTCTGGATTCTTTTTAAAAAATGTTTTCAGACCACAGTCTTTTCCAGAGTTTTCTGGCCAGCCCTTCCAGCCCAGGGTTTGTGTGGCTCCCTGACATCCTCTTCATCTGTCACCCCCCCCAGGGCTGGGCATCAGTCCCTGTTCTCCTGTTCCCCTGCCCTCCATAACAGATAGTATGGAGCTCCCTGCCTGGGCTCTGGGAAAAACATCAGGAGGAGTGAGTGCGCGGAAGACGTGGCCTTACCACCCCTGGTACCCAACGCCTCACTGAACCCCCCTCAAGCCAGCCCACCCACCACTGTGTGGCTGCTTCTGTCCTTCTGGCCCAGCCTTGCCTCTGCCAGGAAGCCTCCACAGAATGGATTCTTCAACACAATGGTAACACCAGACTGACCCTCAGAGAACAAACCCCTCAGTTTTTAGATGTGGAAACAGACGCTGGCCATCGGACAGTACTAGTACTGGATCTCAAAATGGGAGTTGGCTCCCTATTCTGAACATTTATAGAGTTGACAGTCAGTCCTGAATGTGTTTTCTTTTTCACACATACTCATACTCATCTTCCCACTTGAGCCCCTGTTTCTGGAGGGGATGATGGTGCCTTCCCCAGGCACACAGTCCCAACGCATGCTGTCTGGATGGGCCTTGTCATCTGCACCCCCTCCCAACTGTACCCATCGAAGGGGGCAATGACGCCTCCAGATACCACACTGGCCTGTGGCTGCTGTGACTTGGACAAAGTGACAAGATAGGATTCAGGAGATTTGAGCTAAAGGAACTGATCATGAGAGGTTATTTGTTGGTTGAACAACTAGCAGATTTCTACTAAAATTACTGGGCTTGCAAGGAAGTTTTAAGATTTAGTATCGCTTCCCCTTTCCAGCATGAAGCCACAGCAGAGTGAGCTGAAGTCACTGAAATCAGATCCAAGGAACTGTATCTGGGACCAGGGGGCAGAGCTGGCTCACCTGAGTCTGATTACCTATATGCCAGGGGCTGGAGCTGGCCCTGGCAGCAGTGTTAGGTACAGGCATCTGCACCAGGATGAATGCAACCTCCAGACCCAAGAAGAGGTGCCACTTCCTTTACCAGTGTCAGCCAGAAGGATTCTGGGAGGGAAGGAGGGAGTGGGCCTGGCCCTCTTGTCCACACTGACCCCTCCCAGTTTTTCTACCATCTTAAAACTTTTGGCCCTGAGCCCCTTACTATAAACAAACCCTGTGTCCACTAGCGGGCTGAAAGCTCTGCCACCAGGTATTTCTGTGTCTAGCTCACTCTGAGCCCCCAACACTTGAAGGGCCTGACGCAGAGCAGAAGCCCAGGTAATGGGTGAAAATACTTGCTGCAAGCTGTAGGCTCTCCAGCACTTTCTCTAGTTGGCACACTGCCCAAATGTGAGGGCAGAGAAACGTGGAGGGCACTGCATCGCAGCAACAGCCCAGCGCCCAGCAGCGCCTGGCTTGAGAAGAGGCGCTTCCATCTGACAATATGTGGGCTCTTTCTGGAAGATGTAGGGAGCTTCAGGAGTAGTTGGGGGGTCCTCCCTGATGGTGCAATGGGTTGAAGCACAGTACTATGAAGTTATTGGTGTGGCAAATCTCCCCTGTCTCAACAGCTGCTTCCCTTAGCAATGTACTTCACTAGATCCACCTGTTCTGCTCCCTACTCTCTCAGATGAATCCTGCCCCACCCCCTACACCTCTGGCCTGTACCCCAGCTCTTGTATGCATAATATAAAAAAAAAAAAGAGTAGTTGGGGCCCAGGGAAGGAAGAAGTGGGGAGAAAGGGGAGCTTGGGGAAGGATGCTGACATTTACTTCTATTGTGTTCTATTGTGTGCCAATAACAACCATATTGTCATGAAATTCTAATCACTCCAGAACTGGCCAAGTCACACTTTCAGAAAAGGAGATTTTACCAGCCTTTCAACCTGGTTCCTGGAGAATGAAGCATCATTACCTAAGGCACCCACTGTCCTCAGTGACTTTGCTCCTGTGACTCTAGGTTACACTCTATCCTTTCACTCCAGCCAGTTGCTGCTCTGTGGCTCAGGTGAGGCACTAGCTGAGAAAGGCTACCACACACCTCTACCTTCAACCTCATGCCGAGTCGGTGGGGAAGAAAGAGAGTTTGCAGCCAGAGAAAGGCGCAGCTCAGAGAGAGAAGGTAGTTCATCCAGGGTCTTGGGAGTAGCAGAGCCCGACCCTGAATCCAAGTCAATCTAATGAGTAAGCCAGAGAGGGGGGCAGGGTGGCTCAGGGGTCCGGGTCGGCAGTGTACGCCAAAGCATGGGCAGTGCCTGACAAGTGGAAAGTGTTCAATCTGTGTGTGGCTGAATGGGGGAACCCCGCTCTAAAGGCACCTCGACAAGGATGTCACGAGTGGTCAAGTGACAGCTTCTTTCTTTATTCACTGACTTCAGAGAGCTGGTTCTTGAGGTACAGCTTCAGTGAGACAGAAGCAGCCTTGCAAATGAGGCGCACGCTGACAGCCTTACATAAGGACCCCAGCTTTCACTCTGAGACACAAGCAAGCCAACAGCCATAACCTTTTCACTGAGGGAGCACCAAGTGGCTTGAAAGTGGGTCAAGCAATTATTTTAACGGCTGGTGAGAGCTTAGTTTCACCAAAGAAGAAGTAACCTAAAACGCCCTCAGTGCCCAGAGGAGTCAGACTGACTAAGGCCTTTTACTGAATGTATAAAAAAAACCTGCCTGAGTTCAGTGTGGCCCATTCCCAAACAGTGACACACAGTGTGAGAGACGCACCAAGACTAACAGGCACAGCTCCTGCCCTTCTGGAGGCCAGTCTGGGAGCTGAGCTGAGAGCACAGGGCAGAAGAGCCCAAGGTGGAGCACAGCCAGGAGGGGTCCCCTTCCCCCCCAGAGCCTGAAGGAAGGTGAGGTCCCCGAGGGGAGGGGCCAACAGAGCCAAGCCCAGGCAGAAAGGCCCACCCCAGCTGGGCAAGGGGCACTTCGGGGGGCCCTGAGAAGCAGGCGGAGTTCCAGCAGGCTGCAGCTCTGCTGGAAAGACCTGAAAAAACATACTTGTCTTTACTGGTTTGGTGACCTCTTCATGCTCGGCATGGTCCTCCTGTGACTTTTCCTTGCTTTCCCATCCCACACTCCATCCAAGCTCCTACTGTGGAGTTTATTTCAGCTTCCAAATAAACACATTAAATAAATACTTCAGAGACTACATACGTAGCCCTTCTCTCTGAGAAGCAGAAGAGTCACTAATGTTTTAGCACTTTGGTGAATCCTACTTGCTTTAGAAATGGGACTGGATGCAACAGAACAAGGAAAGACCTTCACCCCAGACTGGCCAGCTGGGTCCCAGATACATCAAGGGCCACAGATAATCGTGGAGCTCTTTCACCTAGAAGCTGAGACACCATCCTAAGGAGTAAGGTAGAAACACGAAACACACAAACATCTCTGTCTGCAAAGATCTCCGCTACAGCGGTACTGACAACAGGAGAAAAAAGCAGACTTACTAATGACAGAAGATAAGTACATATTTGGTATGCACATGGCCTCTCAATGGCCTAAATGGCCATTAAAAATCACAGCTCTGAATACAAGGCAGTAAAAAAAAAAAGGGGGGGGACATGCACTTGGTCATATGAATACCAAAGGACCATTTTGTCAAAAGTTCTCGTACAAAAAGAGGCTGGCTGGAAAACATTAAAATAACAAAGGTTGCAAAAGCCTGCCAAAAGCTGGATGATTTGTTTTCTGTTTTCCAAAAGATGCAATAATGTGACTATGTTCATTTTAATTTAAAATTAAAATACACACACACACACACACA